TTTTTAGATTTCTTAAGATTTTTTCATAGTTGTCTGAAAATAAAGCCAGTATTCTGCTTTTCCCATCTGTATAGCATTTATGTATTTTTTTTTTCTTTATTGCAGTGGTTAGAACTTACAGTACAATGCTGAATTGAAGTCATGATAGTGGACAATTTTTTTCTTTATTGTTGAAAGTATTACAGATGTCCACTTCATTTGTTTTTCCCCATTGACCCCTTCTACCTCACACTTGCCCCTCCTAGGCCTTTACACTCTATTGTGTGTGTCCATATATGCATATAAGTTCCCTAGTTTATCACTCCTCAGCCAACCACCCACCCACTCCCACCTTCTCTCTAGTGGATATTCTTTTTTTTTAAAATTCTTTATTGTTTAAAATATTATATAAATCTCCTTTTCCCCCCGTTGACCTCTCCCCGGCCGCCCATATCCCCCTACTCTCTGTGTCAATTGATTATGCTCATATGCATATATACAAGTCCTTTGGTTGATTTCTTACCTCCCTCACCCCCCACCTTCCCTCATAGGTTGGACAGTATGTTTGATGCTTCTATGACTCTGGTTCTATTTTTGTTCAACAGTGTATGTTGTTCATTATACTCCACAAATGAGTGAGATCATGCGATATTTATCTTTCTCTGACTGGCTTATTTCGTTTAGCGTAATGTTCTTCAGTTCCATCCATGCTGTTGCAAATGGTAAGAATTCCTCCTTTTTTACGTCAGCATAGTATTCCATTGTGTAGATGTACCACAGTTTTCCAATCCACTCATCTGCTGATGGGCACTTAGGCTGTTTCCAAATTTTAGCTATTTTAAATTGTGCTGCTTTGAACATAGGGATGCATATATTCTTTCTGATTTCTGTTACTATTTTCTTGGGATATATTCCTAGAAGTGGGATTACTGGGTCAAATGAAGTTCCATTTTTAGTTTTGTTTTTAAAAATATATGTATATTTTATTGAATTTTTTACAGAGAGGAAAGGAGAGGGATAGTAAGAAACATCAATGAGAGAGAAACATTGATCAGCCACCTCCTGCACACCCCCTACTGGGAATGTGCCTGCAAACAAGGTACATGCCCTTGCCTGGAATCGAACCCAGGACCCTGAAGTCCACAGGCCGACACTCCATCCACCGAGCCAAACCAATTAGGGCCCATTTTTAATTTTTTGAGGAAACTCCATACTGTTCTCCACAGTGGCTATACCAGTCTGCATTCCCACCAGCAGTGCAAGAGGGTTCCTTTTTTTCCACATCCTCACCAGCAGTTGTCGTTTGTTGATTTGTTGATTATAGCCATTCTGACAGGTGGATTTTTAAAAGTTTTTCTATTTCTGATTTTATTAAACTTATGGCCTGATTTCTAAACAATATTTTCTTTACTAAACTTTACTGACAAGATACTGTGCTGTATCTGCCCTTGTATTTGCACTTAAAAAACTCAGTTCAAGTCCTAAATATTCTTATAACAAGCTTTATGCTTCTCTCCTTGGCACCTAATACAAGGCCTCACATAGTGTTATTGTTGAGTAAGTGAATTATGTAATAGTCTACTTGCCAGACTTTCTAAATTTGGCTTGGTTTTTCAGACCACAGAAATGTGTATCTTGTACTGAAGCTTCAGTCTGATCATTGTTTTCTGTGGCAATTCATTCTATTAAAAAAAAGTATTTTTATTGATTTCAGAGAGGAAGGGAGAGGGAGAGAGAGATAGAAACATTCATGATGAGAGAAAATCATTGATTGGCTGCCTTCTGCATGCCTCCTACCCGGGGACTGAGCCCACAACCCAGGCATGTGTGCTTGACCAGAATTGCACCCTGGAACCCTTCAGTCCGCAGGCCAACGTTCTATCCACTGAGCCAAACCAGCTAGGTCCATTTCATTTTTTGATTCTTCTCCTTCTCAGATGGTTCTTCCTTTATACTGAATCAAAATACATCTGAATTATTTCTTTGGCTCTAGTCTGCTCCACACTATCTTCTGTATAATAGCTCTTCAGATATTTGGAGAACGTTCTCATTAATGTAAGTTTTCTGACTAAACCTTTATTATTATTATTATTATTATTATTATTATTACTATATTATTATTTTATGTAATTGTGTCCTGACCCTTTACCAGTGTGATTGTACTTCTTACAGTGCTCTCCAGTTTGGACTCTTTAGTGACAAGGAATACAGACATATCCCAGTTTCAGAGGAAGGAATGTCATAGGAAGTTTGATGACAGACACTATAATACTACTAGAGTAAACTGGAGGTAGGACCTAGGCAGCTGCACAGCTTCTTTCATGTGGTACCTTTGCTTCTTTCTACATGTGTATACAGTTAGCTTGTTTCTACTGACAAGTCTTGGCCTGGAGTTTCTGCTGCTCTGTAAGTTTGGTTTTACACATGACCCTTTTCTGTCATCACAGCAAGTCTTTATACATCTTTTTGGCTGCTTTATTCAGTCTCTTCCTTTTTAAAATAAATTCAGAATTCCCTAGCAGAGGAATTTGATTTGTCTAGGTCACTCTGGTCATAAGTTGCTTGCCAGTTTATAGATGTCCTTACCCACCTTATAGCCCCATTCATTTGTTCAACACCATGCTACTAAGTATCTCATATATACTAGGAATTATTCTAAGTGTCTGGGTAGAACACATCAGTAAACAAAGCAGGCCAAAATTTATTGTTTTCTTTCCAGTGAAGTGAGACAGACAAACAACAGTAAATGTAATACCAAATAAGTGATTTAGTAATTCTCTCTGGCTGGTGGAAGGGGTATGAGCATGGCTGCTGCCCTTCCTTGAACCGTGGGCAGTGCCATTTTGTTAGAGGGGTGTGGGCAGATGGACATCATAAGACAACTTGAATGTAGATAATCTCTCAACTAGTTGCTTAGGTAAACATACCATGGAAAAATATTTAGTGAATTATGTATTATAGTAGCATTTCTTGAAGTTTAGAGTCTATAAACAAACTTTCTGCATCAGGGTGGGCAAAAGTGGTTTTACAGTTGTAATGCAAATAAATGACACAATAGTCATTTATTTGCATATACTATTAATAATAATAGACAAATATGTAAATTGAACATACCTCTGCAACACCCACAACCAATCAGGAGTGAGTATGCAAATTAACTCAACAAAGGTGGCAGGCTCTGGCAGTGCACACACGTGGGCTCCGATTGGCTGGGGGCGAGGTGGGATGACACAGTGGGTGTCCCTGGGACCCCGCCTGCTCCGAGCCTTTGGCCAGCATGCACGTGTACCGGTGCTGAGTGGCCGGGGTCCTGGGGATGCCACTGGAGTGTCCAGTCCTGTCAGCCCGGCCTGGGGCAGCTGGAGTTCTCAGTCCTTTTGGTTTCTGCAGCCCCTGGACCAGAAGCGGAAACCAAGAGTGTGGGGAACACTAGGAATCCTGGGAATCGTAGTTCTGGTGGCAGACACGTTGTGGAATCTCCTAGACACTAGAGCAAAATGAGCCTGGAGCAAGTTACTGTTGTGGGTGGGGATGGAGGGAAAGCAAAGGTGAGAGACGTAAGTAAAGTCAGAGTGTTGAGGAAAAATTAAAGGGAAGATACTTTGCAATTTCTAGGAAATCTACACCAATGGAGCAAAGAAAAAAAAAAAGGATCTCTATTATTCTGTGAGTACCAAACCAAACTGGGTTGGGGTCTCAGACAATTCACTCAATGACTGCAAAGACAGACAGAAACTCCCAGATTGGACAGGGCTTCCCTGAGAGCTCACAGATTGGAGAGGGTGCAGGTCAGGCTGAGGGACCCACCCCCTGTGCACGAATCTTCATGCACCGGGCCCCTGGTAAATAATAACACAAGAATAAACTTTCACACTCACAACTGTAAACCCACTTTTGCCTACCCCTATATATACTTGGCATATCTACACTGTAATACACATAGAGGTCAATCAAATAATTTTTGTCAATTGTATGTTCAACAAATACGAAGTATCCTGTTTTGTGTAGAGCAGAGTACTATATTTTATTCCCTAATTAACCCCTACTTATTTTTTTAAATTAAATTTATTGGGGTGACATTGGTTAATAGGATCATATAGGTTTTAAGTGTACCTTTTTATAATATTCTTAGTTCTTCTGCAGATTTACTTCTTCCTCCTAGCTACTGGCAACTTCACACCAACAGTATACTGGTTAGCAACCCTGAGAATACTTTTTGACTCTTCTGGAGTCATTGGCCAAGGCTAGAAGACCTGCCAAGGGGGGTAATGGATGGCTGGCTCATCCTAGGTCAGTTGCTAATCCTAGTGACTGGCCTGGGTAGCCTGATAGCTCTTCCAGGGCCCAAGGGAAAGTGGGTTACCAAATGTAAAGGAGGGAAAAGTGTTCCTGACCACACCAGTATTTCCTCATCCTGTCTAAATTTGCTTTGGGCAGCTTGTCTACTTTTTTTTTTTTTTTTAAAGAAAGCCATTTCCAAATGTTCTGGTATCGTGCCAAGGATTGTTCTCCCTGCCCCCTTTTAATATAGTAACTCCATTTGGCCATTATATTTCTTGATTTTATAATGGGGTAGGAGAGTAGGGTCCGAAAAATAACAATAGGAAGGAAGGCACTGACTAATAACTGCTCCCTCCTTCTTTCTTTCTTTCTTTCTTTCTTTCTTTCTTTCTTTCTTTCTTTCTTTCTTTCTTTCTTTCTATATATATATATATATATATATATATATATATATATATATAATTTTTTATATATATATATTTTTTGATTTTTTACAGAGAGGAAGAGAGAGGGACAAAGAGTCAGAAACATCGATGAGAGAGAGTCATCGATCAGCTGCCTCTTGCACACCCCCTACTGGGGATGTACCCGCAACCAAGGTACATGCCCTTGACTGGAATCGAACCTGGGAGACCTTTTAGTCCGCAGGCCAATGCTCTATCCACTGAGCCAAACCGGTTTTGGCTGCTCTCTTCTTTCAAGTCAGCAGCAAAAAATGCAGGGGACAGTCTTTTGCAGCCTAGCACTCCTCCTTTCTAGGAAGTGGTCCCCCTTTCTTTTGAGCAATTTTTCCTTTCCCCTACCTATGTAATACAAATAAAAGCTGCTTTTACAGTCACTCTGATTGACATGACCTGCTTTGTGAAGACCCACATCTCGCATTGTTCAGGGCTTGGGTTCTGGAAGAGGGGCCACATGCAAATGAAAGAGAAGAGACAAAAAATAATAATTTGGAAATATTGGGGGACCAGATGGGAGCACAACTTAAGAGGAAGGACTCCAATTGGACTCAGGCCTTGCCATCCTTTTATTCAACTTGGGATACACCTATAGTCCTTAGGCAGGCAATTTCCAGTAATAGAGTATCTTATCAGTAAGGATTTGATGACTGTCTGGTGTGGAAGTTGCTTCAGCTACCATTGTCTCAACTAAACAGTGGGTGTATAGCTTTGACCTTTGCCAGGGCTCAAGGGTCACCAGCATTCCAGGCTCCTTGTCCACACCTCTCTGCTAGTGAAGACAATAGGCAGTTTCCCACACAGCTTCACCTCTGGACATAAGGATCAGTGTGCAGGTATCTAGACACCTGACTATAGAACAGTTTTCCCTCACTGTTGCTTGTTTTTCAATACAAAAAAATCATCTCAGAATTTTTAAATACAATCAGTATTGCCTTAAAAATAGTTATCATATGAAATATATAAACTTGGGAAATGTTTAAACATTGAGACTAAATGCTTACAAATCAAGAAGCAATATGCAGAAAATATTTGTTTACTCTTTGCAGGGTACTTTTATAAGCTCCTCAACAGTTGTTAGCTCCAGCAATTTACATATTTGCAAAACAAATTATTGTAACTCTCTCTACATTTTATTTGCAGTGAAATATCAATCTACCATTTTTATTGTTGCCTTTTTTCTAACCTAATTTCCATTTTCATATAACTGAAAGTCTTACCATCATGATTTATTTCTGTGTGCATTTATAAATATTATATCTCCATTTCAAAATAAACTTTCATGTTTTTGAAACTCTGCATAGTATTGTGAAATCAATAATAATATGTTGCTTCTAGAGACTTTTGAAAGTTATGCTCCTGCCAGAGAGGAATTTTTTATCTGTCAAGTTTGCAATAATTAAAACAAGTGAAAAATCTAAAATAACAGTTCTTGGTAAGGCTATAGTGAAAATGCCAATGTCATTCTTATACATAGAATATTAAAAAAAAATAATTAAGTGTCTTTCTGGTGGGCCCTTTGGCTTTGTGTGATCTTCAAAATTTTCATACTCTTTAACCTAGTAGTTGTATTTCTAAGAATTCTTTTTTTTCCCCCTGTGGAAAAGTGAGATGAGGATGAATATTTATATAGAAAGGGCCTTATGTAGCATTATTTATAATAGTGAGAAACTAGAAAATGTACATACTACAGTAAAGGCCCATTGTAAAATATTAAGTACTACATCAATATATAAAGCTAGGTTTAATATGATCTCAATTCTGTAGAAAAAGCACATGTTTACAAAAATTCCCTATTTCATCCCTAGGATAAAATGGTCCAAAATGTTAACAGTAATTCTCCTCAGGTGTGAGAATGTGAGTGATTTCTTTTTTATATTTTTATATATTTGAAAAAAATTGCAGTTAATATGGATTTTTATATTTATTAAAAATTAGTATGATAAACTATTTTAAAAACCTAAAATATATTAGCTATGGCTTTTAGAACTAAACAAACAATATAGGAACACCTGATTAAATATGATGAGCTAAATAACATGCATTTATTTCTGTTTAAAAAGACAGGGAGATGTAAGCTTAAAACTATTTGTGTCAGTAGTAATGAATTTATTAAAATAAACATTTAAGAGGAGATCCAAGATGGTGGCTTAGGTAAACATCTAAACTGCTGCCGTGCCCAACAATTTCAATGCTGCAACTAGAAGACAAAACGTCTATCACCCAGAATCACAGGAAAGCTGGTTGAATGGAAGCTCTACAACTAGACTGAAAGAGAAAAGAGCATTCAGGACACAAGCGCTGAAAAACTGGGGGCACACGAGGCGCTGGCGACTGGTCCCTGCTGGCAGAGGGTGTTGTTTTCTTCAACCCGAAGAGAGACAAGCTCCCAATCTCTTTGAAATCCAGTTTCTGGAGAGAAGCTGGACTATCTGCCATCGGGTCGGAAAGTGAGCGTGGTTTGCTTGCAGAGCTGTGCGCAAGAATAATTGTTTGCTGTGCTGGGGCGTGAGACATGGGGACTTGGGCAGAGAGGCAGAGATGGCTCACTGGCAGCCATGGCTGTTTGCCACGCTCTAGCCTAGTGACGCCCTGATACTCCACGCTGCACAATTTACAAACACACCCAAGCTCCAAGCAGTGGTTTTTGCATATGAATGGACTTCTCCATTGCAGTTTAACCTAGCAAACTTGCAACCTGGTGCAGACAGCTCCAAAGCCTCCAAGCTCCAAGCAGGGAAGAGAGGACTGTCGTTCTCGCTGTAGCTCCTGCCGGGTGGCCTCAGACAATAGCCAAACTGCACCTCATTGGAGATCCAGAAGCCAGTGTATCTAGTGGTCAGTGTGAGACCAGATTTCAACTCCTCACATCCATAAGTGACACATTCAGGAGGCTGAGTCAGTGAGCACCAAAGTCCCACTGAAACAAGGCTTGCACCATAAGTGTGTTTCCAGCGCAGCAGTTCTTCTATTATAAATACAGCAGGTCCCCATAGCCAATTGACGAATTGAACCCAGGACCTCTCAGTCCACATGCCAATGCTCTATCCACTGAGCCAAACCAGCTAGGGCTAACAATATACTTTCCATTCCCAAATTACTCACAGATTACATCCCCAGGGTTCAAGAATAAATCAATCCATTCTTCAGTGTCTCAGGATAATTTTATAACAATAATGACACAGACAAGTAGTTTTCAACCAGGGACAGTTTTGCCCCCATCAGAGGACATTTGGCAGTATTTGGAGATATTTTTTATTGTAATGACTTGGTGGTGGTAGGGTACTACTATCATCTAGTGGGTTCAGGCTAAGGATGCTGCTAAACATCCTACAATGCACAGGACTTAGATCCTTTCCACCCAACCTTCCCATAAACACATAATCTGGCCCAAAATGTCAATAATGCTGATGTTGAGAAACTCTGCCTAGATATCCTGTTTCCCGAAAATAAGACAGTGTCTTATATTAACTTTTTCTCCCAAAGTTGCGCTAGGTCTTATTTTTAGGGGATGTCTTATTTTCGGAGGGTGTCTTATTTTCGGGGAAACACGGTAGTAGTCAAGTTCCCAGGCCACGGTAAAAGTCTTTATTTTACTCATAACACTGTTTATAACCCACAACTGAAGCTTAGTGCTAACTGTCATTTTGTTACTTAAAAGTACTTTGCCTCCATTGAAAAGTTCTTTTAAAGTTTGAACTTGAAATACTGAGAAGATTGTTTTCCTTATTGGGAACAAAGGCAGTTATTCCCATGGTGTGATAGAAACTCTAGATTTTAATGTTTCTGACTATTTATTTTTTAGCTTTTCATATGTATGTAAATTTTGAGAGTCTGTTGGATATAATAGTCTGTCATTTCAGTATTGTGTTTGGAATTTTTGTGTCCTTTAAATCTTGAAAATATTTAACCAGTATATCAATTTATTCAATGAACATTCATTTATAAATAAGTATTAATATAATGAGTATTAAGATTTTATAGTATTCCATTTATTTTGACTTTATTAATAGGGTCAGGAGCAGGTCTGGGGAAAATAATCCAGAGATTTCCACAGAAGGACTGGGATGATACACCTTTCCCACAGGGAATTGAATTGGTAAGTTGATGGTGCATTATTGTACTTTTATAATGATACTTTTTATGCTGTTATTATATTTATGTTATAGTTACTGTTAATAATTTGGTGATTTTACTGTAACATGTCACTAGAAATAATCCTTCATTTCAGTACCCCAGGTACAGTAACCTTTGAATGTATTGATTCTGGAATGTGTTTTGCTGTCCATTTTACCATTTAAACCTCTCTAATATTAAAGATGAAATTGATGATCTTTATGTACTTGGGAGCTGAAAAATTCCATTGACTCTTCAGTCAAAATGTTAGCCTAGTAGCTTTAGTGATAGTGTGTTACTACACAAATGTTTACTTTATTTTTTTTGGAAATTTCCAGATTATTTGGATGAAAACTAAATAGAAAAAAAAAAGAAAGAAAGAAAAGGAAAGGTTAGTTTAATGGTGACCAGTTATGTTGAATTCACAAATCCAAATTGCCTTTTTAGATATAGGATCTTTAGGTTGTTTTATCATGGTGCAGTTCAGCTGCTTTAATTTTTGTCAGCCATTTTAAAGGAATGTAATGGTTGTGCATAATTAATGATAGCTAGGACATCCTATCTGGTGGCTATTTCATGATGGTTAAGTGAGGACTAGAAAGATGATCACTAAAGTATTTTGCAATATGACTATACAATCTGGTTCTCAAACATACTGTAGTATGTGTATATGTGTTTGCCTATATGTATTTATGTTGTTTGTGTGTATACACATACAAATTTAATGAGAAGTGTTCTTCAAAGCAGATTTTGCTGTGAGAACATTTGGTATGATAGTGAAGTGTGCAGGCTCTGGAGAGGACTACAGATCTCAGCTGTATGGTTTGACTTTTGATAAGCTAACTTCTTTGAGCAGCAGAATCCTCATTTACAAAATGAGGATAATGACGATACTAATCATATAGGGTTTTTGTAAGATAAAATGGGTTAAAAAAGCACATAAAATGCTTAGAACAATTTATTCCATAAAGTAAGTGTTCATTAAATGAGGTAGTTTATTATTGTTGTTGCTGCTGTTTGTTTAACATCTTGCAACACCTGCCCCAGAAGAATTATTCATCTGTTAGCATTGATCAAAAATATCAATTAGGATAAAACTGATGTTGAAAAAAAATGTGAATTTTAAAATTTTTGCTAATGACTATTCATTTCTTCTTCACTAAAGATAAAAAATACATTGCTGAATGCCTAATTTTGATTATTTACTAGATATACCAGTTAATAATGCAGATTTTTTAATAGATGGAGTTACACATATGTGGATATATATGCGATTTGATATGTATGTTATTTTGTTGTATTACTCCTTTAGATTTCCACTTGTTCCGATTGATGGCGCACACACTTTCTGAGCAGCACTTCAAAATGTATGAAGTGGAAAATTGAGTCTCTGAATGGTTTGCTTCAAAACAAGAAAAGTTCTATTGGGACGGTATTCACAAATTACCTGAAAGATGGGGGAAATGTGTAGCTAGCGATGGACATTACTTTGAATAAAGCACTTTCGATGCTTCTCTTGAAATTATCGTGTTTTCTTTGATTACAAAATCTGTCTTGACCAGTTAATGTGGATTAACTATTAACCGGTTAATAATGCGGATTAACCATTAACTGGTTAATATTGCAGATTAACGGTTAACCGGTTAATAATATGAATTAACTATTAACTGGTTAATAAAACAGATAAACTATTAACTGGTTAATGTTGCAGATTAACTATTAACCGGTTAATAATATGGATCAGAGACCCAATTTTCCACTTCTTCATATGTTTTAAAGTGCTGCTCAGAAAGTGTGTGTTCCATTGATTTCAACAAGTGGTAATCTGGAAGAGCAAGGTCTGGTGAATACAATGGGTAGGTTAAAACTTCCCAGGCAAGGTCTTTTAACGTGTCTTTAACTAGTTTTGAAGTGTGTGATGGTGCATTATCATGAAGCAAAATTAATTTGCCATGTTTTCTGGCCCATTTTGGTCATTTTATGATCAAAGCGTGGTTCAAATGGATTATTTGTTGTCGGTAGTGACCAGTATTAATGGTTTCATCTGGTTTTAGAAGGTCATAATACACCACATCTTCCTTATCCCACCAAACGCAGAGACTTATTTTCTTCCTGAAGTGATTTGGCCTTGCAGTCAATGTTGATTGTTGACCTAGATCAACCCATGATTTTGTGGGTTTGGGATTCTCAGAATAAATCCACTTTTCATTGCTAGTCACAATTTGATGCAAAAAAAACCCCTTTCCTTTGTGCCATTGAAGCAATATTTTACCAATGACTTTTCTGTTTTCCATTTGTCTTTCGTTCAGTTGATGTGGCACCCATTTTCCTTCCTTTAAAATATTTCCCATTGCTTGTAAATGATCGGAAATTGTTTGCTGAGCAATGTTTAATCTTTCTGCAAGTTGTTTTTGCGTTTGACATGCATCTTCATCCAGGAATGCTTATAATTGTCTTCAAATTTTTTCGGTTGACCTGGACGTTTGTCTTTTACATCAAAATAATCACTTTTAAAGTGTTTAAACCAGCGTTCACAAATATCTTGAGATGGTGTATGTTCATCATCATAAGCTTCCCGAAGTATATGATAATTTTCAGCAGTACTTTTCTTCAAAATAATTAATTAAAAGTTCCCACAAATGCTCTTCTCACAAATTTTTGGCACAAAATTTGACATTTTTAAGCGTAAAAATATCTATGATGTTACACCTTCAGAAAATTTGACATATAAAGTTTTGAAGCTTGTTGTCAATACAACAAAATAGCATACATATCAAATTGCATATATATCAACATATATGTAACTCTATCTATGGAAAAATACCCACATTGTTAACCGGTACACCTAGTATAAAGAAGGCAGCATATTCTGTAGATATTCATAAAAGGTAAATTTTGTATTTTGTTATTAAAAATGAGGAAAGAATGTGAGGATCATAGGAAAAGTAACTTTTTTGAAAGCCCCTTCTATTCCTCCTCCTCCCACATGCCTACAAATACTAATAATTGGCTTTCCTATGTGAATAACTAGGTATTTATTTGTACTATTAAGCATCCTTTCAGTGATGATTGAAAGGGGAAATTTTTGTTGCTGGACCATCTTGAACTTTTAAAAAAATATGTTTTTATTGATTTTTGAGAGAGGGAGAAAAATAGGGAGGTAAAAACATCAATGATGAGAGAGAATCATTGATCAGCTGCCTCCTGCACTCCCCGCACTGGGGATGGAGTTCACAACCCGGGCATGTGCCTTGACAGGGAATCAAACCATGACCTCCTGGTTCATGGATCAATGCTCAACTGCTGAGCCACGCTCGCTGGACCTTTTTTGAACTTTTTGTGAACTCCTATCTTCTCTCACATCAAAGCATGGAGGGATATAAACTACAACAGTTTGAAAATTTGAACAGTGAACTACCTTCATAAGTTTCAAGAGATATGATTTGATACTAGATGTTTTTTAAAATATATTTTTATTGATTTCAGAGAGGACGCGAGAGGGGGAGAGAGAAGCATCAATGATGAGAGAGAATCATTGATAGGCTGTCTCCTGCAAGCCCCACAATGGAGATCAAGCCCATACATAACTTAGGCATATGCCCTGATGGGGAATCGAAACCTGACCTCCTGGTTCATAGGTTGAAGCTCACTGAACAACGCCAGCCAGACTGACACTAGCTATTTAGCTATGATTGACAAGGGATGAATTGTGTTTTGAAATTTAAGGGAATAATAGATAGTGTGATGTTTCTCTAGTAGTGAGGGAGGGACAGTTACTGATTTTACTATTTAGTAAATGGTGTTTTTTTTTCTTTGTATGATAGACGCTCCTGTGTTCAAGTGCTATCAGTGGCTCTCCAGTAACAAGTAGAGTTATATGCTGTTAATTGATAGAATGGAAGTGATAATAAGTAAACAGAATTTTTTCTCACCTGACATTTTCCTAGAT